GACCCGAGAGCGAACAACACTGGCCGCCGCCAACCCCTCCTCACCGCCATCCTCTCGTCCCCGCCACCCGAGGCGCACCGGCACTGCTGCGCATTCGCCGTTGAAGGCGGTGGTTGTCGTGGTTCTAAGACTGACAGTAGAAAGGGGGTAGGTATGGAGAGGCAAGATCTTAGCTATGGTGAAGGTGTACACACGAGTTTTACGAGTTCGGGCCCTTCTCGACGAATTAACAGCCCTACGTCTCGGTGCCCGGAGGCGGTCGATTGGATTATGTGTGTGATATTACAAAGGGTGCGAACCCTTGTGCCAGAGGAGGGGGTGGCTTATATAGAGTACGCCAGGACCCCAGCTCCCCTCCGTTACAAGGGACTTAATGTACATAAAGTGGGGGCGTTACTGGTAACGCCGGGCTTAAGTGCTGTTAATGACCCTAAAGACTACGGAGTGAATGCCTGCCCGTTGAAATGCTGAGTGACTCCTGGTCTTCAGTAGGTCGAGTGATTCTCTGGATGGTCGAGTGACAATAAGGGGGAAGATGCCCGAGTGATCTGACTGTCGAGTGGATAGAACTCGACATCTTTGGCTAGGGGTCTCTTGCTGTCTCTTGGGCTCCTTATCTTCTAGGGTAGTGACCTTGGGTAGGGTGTGTAGGTCTGGCCTATGACCCTACCCCAGGTATATATCCTCATCAGTAGCCCCCGAATGGATTGAGGTTCGGTTGAAGTTGAACTTGTTCTGTGTCTTGCGCCTCCGCGAGCGTTTTCTGCCAGACTGAGAGCTCACGTTGGCATTTTGGCGTCGACTCAGCCGCCTTGATCCATTCAGGGAATTGTCGATTGAACTTGTGGCATCATGCGTCGAGTGATGTATTAGTGCGCAGGATCCTGGGCGAGATTGACTACTGCTTATCTCGGATTTCGCGGGATACGAAATTTCGGGGAAGCACGCGGGATGGGGAGTGCCGAAGCGGGTGGAGCGGATAAAACAGCGATGCCTCGATCTTCGCGCCGCCTTTTTCGCTACGTACGTTGCGCGCGATTGTTGCGGGATTTGACAGGATTGCCTGGTCCCATGCGTCAGTCACTCGGAAGCGACTCTTTATAAGGCGATGGTGCCGAGGCGTCTGCGCTGCGCCCGCCCGTTCCTCCTTCTTCTTCCTCTGTTTCTCCACCGCGCTCAGCTCCTCTGCTCTCGACGCTGCCGCTCCGCCGCCATGGTGAAGGACAAGACGGCGGCGCTAGAGCGTGCAAAGAAGGCGACGGGGGCAGCGAAGGGCAAAAAGAAGAGTCGCGGGTCGTCTTCGCGTGCGGGGCTGCCACCGGGCTGGATCCAGGGCAATTGGATCCGGTCTTCGATTCGGTGGGAGGATCTGGACGAGCTGGCGGAGTCTGGCCTGATCGCCAAGGGAGCGGCCAGGTTGCCGAAGCGGGAGATGGAGCCTCAGCCTCGACCGGGTGAGTGTGTTCTACTCGCCACCCACGTCGACCGGGGTTTCTCACTTCCTCCGCACCCCTTCTTCCGGGGATTCTTGAATTTCTTTGGTGCGCAACTCCACCACTTTTCTCCAAACACCATCACTTATCTGGCCGCATTCGTATCGATGTGCGAAAACTTCTTGGGGTGTCGCCCGTACTGGGGTCTTTTCAAGCATCTCTTTACCATCCGCTCCCAGTCGGTCAAAAAAGCGAAGTCGGGTGACTCAAAAACCCATGTCATCCAGATGTGTGGAGGTTTAGGCATCCAAAAAGGCATATGAGTTCTTTCCCTGCTATGACTCTCCCCAAATCGGTCAGGGGCTGGCAGTCGACCTTGCTCTATTGCCATGACGTCGCAGCTCTAGGCCAGTCGACCGGCCTCCCCCACTTCACATTCGACCGTGTCCAGACTCCTTCTCCACTCAAAGTGACTGCTGCTGAGAACATGGAGACGAATATGTTGGTGGAGAAAGTGGTCCAACTCATCAATGAGGGTGTCACCGGCCTGGATCTGCTGGAAGTGTTCTTCAGTCGACGCATCCAGCCCCTTCAGGCTCGTGACCATCCTATGTGGTTATACTCCAGACCTGAAGACACCGCTCGGGTCCATCCAGAGGAGGTGCCGCTAAAAACCGTGGCTATGTGGATGAGAAGTATTACAGGCAATCTGGACAACCCCAGAGGATCCAGACGAGTCATTCCCTTCAGAGACGACAATCCACCCGACAAAGTAGGCTCTTTTTTCCGACTGTATTTGATGTCGACTGACTTTTGTTCGTCCGTTTGCCTTGCAGGCTTTCACTGAGATGTATTCGATGCCCAACGACGAACAAGCTCTAGTGCAAGACTAGGAAGGAGAGGCCAGTGCAGAGGAAAGCGGTGAATGGGAGTCCTCGGATGAAGAGGAGGAGGAGGAGAGTGAGGAGTCGGACTAGGAGGAGGAAATCGACTCGCCGCCTGATACGTCCATTTTGCATCATGCTTTTATGTCAATATTTATTGCATTATGGGCTATTATTTCACGTTATGTCACAACACTTATGGCTATTCTCTCTTATTTTACAAGGTTTACATAAAGAGGGAGAATGCCGGCAGCTGGAATTCTGGTCTGGAAAAGGAGCAAATATTGAAGGACTATTCTGCGCAACTCCAAAATTCCTGAAACTCCACGGAATACCTTAGAATAAATAAAGATAAATCGTCGCCAAAGATGAAGGCCAGGGGGCCCACATCCTGCTCACGAGGGTGGGGGGCGCCCCCCTCCCCCCCCCTCCCCCCCCGGGCGCGCCCCCCTACCTCGTGGGCCCCTTGGTGGCTCTCCCACGTCCATCTTCCCCCATATGAAGTCTTTCGGTGAGAAAAAAATAGAGTGGAACCTTTCGGGACGAGACTCCGCCGCCACGAGGCGGAACCTTGGCGGAACCAATCTAGGGCTCCGGCAGAGCTGTTCTGCCGGGGACAATTCCCTCCAGGAGGGGGAAATCATCACCATCGTCATCACCAACGCTCCTTTCATCGGGAGAGGGCAATCTCCATCAACATCTTCACCAGAACCATCACATCTCTAAACCCTAGTTCATCTCTTGTATCCAATTCTTGTCTCCATGTCCGGGATTGGTGCTAGTAGGTTGCTAGTAGTGTTGATTACTCCTTGTAGTTGATGCTAGCTGGTTTATTTGGTGGAAGATCATATGTTCAGATCCTTTATGCACAATATTACCCCTTTGATTATGAAAATGAATATGCTTTGTGAGTAGTTACATTTGTTCCTAAGGACAAGGGAGAAGTCTTGCTATTAGTAGTCACGTGAATTTGGTATTCGTTCGATATTTTGATAAGATGTATGTTGTCTAACCTCTAGTGGTGTTATGTCAACGTCGACTACATAACACTTCACCATTATTTGGGCCTAGAGGAAGGCATTGGGAAGTAATAAGTAGATGATGGGTTGCTAGAGTGACAGAAGCTTAAACCCTAGTTTATGCGTTGCTTCGTAAGGGACAGATTTGAATCCATATATTTCATGCTATGGTTAGGTTTACCTTAATACTTTTGTTGTAGTTGTGGATGCTTGCAATAGAGGTTAATCATAAGTGGGATGCTTGTCCAAGTAAGGGCAGTACCCAAGCACCGGTCCACCCACATATCCAATTATTAAAGTACCGAAC